AACCTAGAAGAACCAGTCAGGTAAAGATACGGGGATAGCAAAGGAGACTGTGTGTGCTTGGCTTTCTCTTCTGGACCCAGTGTATTGGGAAACTGAGGGTTTAGGAAGAGTCTCTGCCATCCTGGGAGGTATAGCTGCCTGCTACTATTTCCTCACCAGTGCAGTGACCTAGGATAGCTTTTAGGTTCATCGGAAATCATGTAAGGTTAGAAAATCGTGTTTCCAGTGTCAATAAGCATGAGTTGTAACTACTTGTTAGTAAATAACTGTCATAGTGCCAGAGACATGTGGACACCAAATAATCATCAAGTAAGCTTACAGGTGAAAGCAAGTGTCTCTGTAAAGCTGTGTGAGTTCAGTTTGCTTTTAGTTATTGTCAACAGTTGTTTCTATCATTTTTAGAGCTATGCTGTAGATTGCCTTTTTGGCACTTCATAAAGTTTAAATTAAAATCATCCATAATTTCATTGAGGGTGGCAAAATTATTTTCTCAAATTTTCATTAAATTATAATTTAATGAAAGGATTCCGGCCCCTTGTCAGTTCTAGAAATCTAGAAATTAAAGCAGCATGAATAGTATTTGGAAAGTTGCAGAAATAAAATGCTTTGTCTATCCGGTTAATTTTAGATGCACTTCCATTGAAGGAATGTACAAGTGATGCCCAAAATGCTTGGCTTCACATGTAACAGGTCCCTAGGTCACCCTGTGATGTTCTTGCAGTAGAAGGGAGAACAGGGCATTGCTGACATTAACAGACATGGTAAAGGCTTTCCATGAGCTAGGTTCTTGGCCTCATAGGTAACCCTACAGCATGAGCACTAACTTACACAGGAGGAAACAACCATAGAAGAAATACAGTTCTTTGAGCTTTGAGAATTTTTTTTTTAAAAAGCAACCACAAACTTATATGGCCTCTGTTGCACAACAGACAAGATACTATGTGCTTCATCAAGCCATCCCTGCTAGTGACTGCTCTCAGCAAGGCAGGAAGTGCTTTTATGGCTAAAGAAATTCGTTCTGTTGAGAACTCTAAAACCTCCCTAAAATAATTTTCTGTCTTTTGCTTTTGTAGAGAAAAACATATACTAACAACATAAAAGAGGCACCTTCTGTCCACCCTTCTATTCTTGGTCCTGGCCTCAAGACAGAAGACTTTTTACAGTTGAGGTGTTTTCCCTCACGTGCATAAGCCTACCCAAGTGTGTGATGCTGGCAGTCCATTCATAAGAGCCCTGTCCATAGCAAGCTATGCAGTCCTTTGTGTGGTTTAGATCGTAGAGTATCATTCTGTCTTCACCAAGAGCCTTTACAGGGATCTTCAAGAATGAGGAGTAAATTTTCCCTAGTGGTAGTTACCTGCAAATGTCTAGGTTTGCTCCAGCTCTAGCAGTTTAATTCCATTGGGAATATACTTATAGGATGACATCCATTTTCTTGGAATATAAACATAAATGTGTCATCTGGTTTCAGTGATTGCTGTTGATAAGCCATCTCTCTTCTCTGGCACACCCTCCCCACCCCCTCTGCAGTTTGATCCCAGAGTGTCTAAGTAGCCATGTCTCACCTTGTCCCATCTGACACTAAGCTTCATAAAGCAGAAGGATTCCGGCCCCTTATGAGTTCTAGAAATCAATCCACCATTATGATTGCGAACAGTGCCTTTCACTGATCTCCCTTTACTCCATTTCTGGAGCTTGAGTTACACATGTCCTGGTCTTTTAAGTTTACTCTTCGTGTATCTTTGATGCTTTCCCATTTCTTTTACACTGACATTTGTGTCTGCTTTCTTTAGTTTTATGTACTGCTGTTCTCTTCTAAGAAATTTCCACTATTATATTTTTATTGCAACAAAGTCTATTCTTATTTTAAAAGAAAATCTGGCTATCCGGTTTTTAACATTTTCTCTCTCCTCCATTCTTCTTCCCCTTTTTTGAGTCAGGGTTTCGCTTTATAGCCCAGGCTGCTTGCAAATTCATGGCCATACCCTAAGCCACAGCTTCCCAATCACTGGAATTACAGAAGTGAGCTATCTCCTCTGCTGCTATTTTTCTTTCTCTTCACTCCTCCTGTGTTCCGATTCCATCTTTTATTTCATTAAACTGAGTGAAAACACATGTTTTGTGTTACATATGTACTTGCTTTCTTCTACTGTCTAGAACTTACTTTTTGTTTAATAAACCTTTCCCTTCTGTGAATCTTTCCATGACTCTTTAAATTATTTTTATTGATTTTTATTGATTTCCATATAAGAAAAAGGAAGTACACTAATTTCTTAGGAAGGCTTATGTGGACCATCTCCAGGTCAACCATGTTGTCAAGGTAATTTTTATCACCAATCACCATAGCATTTTGATTGCACCAATTCACCTTTTATTTTCTATATTATATCCATGCAGACAGATGCATATATCCTAAGCATACAGTTTAATCAACTTCTACAAACTGAACACCTTCAAAACAAGTGTACAGCTTGACAATTTTCCAAATTGGACACGGTCAGTCAATCAGTACCCATATCAAGAAACAGAATACTATCAAATTCCCAGAAGGTCCCGTCCCATCCTCTTTCAGCATTACCTGACCCTGCCAAAGGTAATCACTGTCCTGACTCTTACCAGCATAGGTTAACTTCTACTGGCTTTTATCTGATAATATGTCCTCTATTGTGCTGGTCTTGTCCACCAGCATTGGGTTATTAAGCTTCAACTCTATTATTTCATGTAAGACAAAATGAAAACATCATTGATGTATAACTGTTGTTGACGGTGGTGGTGGTGGTGATGATGATATATATACCAATAGCACTTATGGTGTCTATTCTACTGCTATTGGGCATTCTAGTTGGTGTATACACTAGAATTCACCAAACAGCACTAGAATACAACAAAACAGCGCTACTGTAAACATTCTGATCTTTGTGCCTGCTGCTTAGCAAATGCCTGTGTATTCATTTAGCAACAACACTGCCAAATCGTGTTACATACTTAAGTTTTCCAGCCTAGTTTTCCAGCCTAGGGTATGTATGAGTTCAGGTACCCTAGCACTTGGTATTTTCTGCCTTGCAGGTTATTCTATTGAGTGTGTTAGTGGTGTCCCATTGAGTGGTGTCTCACTGAGGTTTCAACTCTTGTTTCCCTTGTGGCTAAAGAAACTGAGCCATTGAGTAGGTCACATGAACCAAACTAACAGTGCCGACTCAGATCCTTTCCAGGTGAGGGGCTGCTGGATCCTATGAACACCTGGAAGAAGATTCTTTTCTTTAGCTTTTTGCATAAACCAGGCCAGAGAAAGGAACTTGCCAGCTTTTCTCTGTTGTCTGCAAATGTCTCAGAACCTGTTAGTCTCTTATCTTTTCTGATTTTCCCTTTCCCAGAAGCCAGAGCCTCCCAGATCCCCATGTGTGTGATGGCAGTGGGGCCCTTTTCTGCCTTCATGATGTGAATTTTTGCCTCATTTCTCTGATCCAGAGACTCCAATTGCCTCTTCCACCCACATCAGCCTCCAGCATATCCACCATTTCTTGCTCACCCCTTCTCCTTAGCTCTGCTTTCTGTTTTCCATCACAAAGATATTGCTATTGCTTTAACAGCTTGCTCTGCATGTTTTATTCTTATCTCTGGGGGGGGGGGGGCAGAAGGTCTTGGGAATTTTACTCTTCCCTTTTAAGAGTGAGACACATCCTGGATGTGGCTTATTCCAGACTAGAGTCATGCCTTGTGCTAGCAAATCCTTTTGTGCCTGGAACTCATCTACACTTGGAAAGAGAATGGCACTGGTGGTCAGAATGTTATCTCTTCAAAGCTTTCTGTAATGGTCCCATCATATAAATCATCCAAAATACCAAGTGGTCCCATCAGCAAAGGAATTGGGATCGCTTCTCTATGACATTGTCGCTTTAAAAAAGGAACCAACCTCAGAGCTAATGAGCTCTGAAGATGGAAGTTGATAATCCCAACGTTTTCCCAGAATTGAGGTGGTTCTGTCCCCTCATTTATAAGTGAGACACAGTGAGCTACATTCCATAAGAAAAAAAAAAAAAAAAACAGAAGAGGGAGGGAAGGCTGTCTAACCAATGAACTATATTTTAAATTCCACCTTATCATATGTTATGGAAATATTTTCTTAATAATGTGATTTTGAAGTGCCTTATACTGATGTCACACATTAAACTGAAACTTACAAATTGTGTTCACCCCAAAGCAACAAAATAAAGTAGCAGTTTCTCATCACAGTCAAATAATTGACTTTTCTTCTTTTAGCCACCAAAATGGTTTTAATGGTTTAACAAACTTTGGTTATGGTTGTTAGGCATTATCTGGTGAGAAATATAATTCCCTACAAGCTAGCATCCTTTGGCTAAGTTTTATTTGAAATAAGCAAAACATCTCAATTTGATTTTATTTACTGAAGTTCATTAATTGTTTTAGTTAAATACTATTTTCGTAATTTAAAATACTTGATATTTTCAATAAATGAAAGATGGCTGCTTCAAAATCATGATGGCAATGAGGTTATATATCTTATAAGTATCTAACCTGTTCTGGTTCATCTTTCATTACAGAAACAGGACACTTTTAGAAGGATGCCAAAGTGTATGAAAATAAAATCCACGCCCTCATATTTGCACCAATCTCCAATCTCCTGTAAGATTCAAAAGGACAAATTGAGAGGGTGTGAGTGACCTTTCGAGAAAACTAAGCAGCCCATGATATTGAGCACAAAGACTTCTGATGGTTAAATTCAGCTCACTGCTCTAAGTCACCCCCCTCAGGAGCCTGGATTCTGAGTTCTGGTGGTGAGAGTCTATGTGAAAAAAAATTTGATCTGTACCCACTCTCTAAATGCATTGATGAATTGATTACAACTTCAAAAACCAAGGAAAAAAATCCTAGCAAAAAAAAAAAAAGAATATAACATTGAAATCTTAGAAGCAGGCAAGGTTTCTTCTCCTGTTTACAGCCTAAGAAGTGATGTAATTGCCACTATAAAAAAAAAAAAAATGACCATGAACAGCACATGTGTTGAAGAACAGCATGACCTAGATCACTATTTGTTCCCAGTGGTCTACATATTTGTGTTTATTGTCAGCGTCCCAGCCAACGTTGGATCTTTGTGTGTATCCTTCCTGCAAGCAAAGAAGGAAAATGAACTAGGAATTTACCTCTTCAGTTTGTCACTGTCGGATCTGCTGTATGCGTTGACTCTGCCTCTGTGGATCAGTTACACATGGAATAAAGACAACTGGACTTTCTCTCCCGCCTTATGCAAAGGGAGCGTTTTCTTCACATACATGAACTTCTACAGCAGCACGGCGTTCCTCACCTGCATTGCCTTGGATCGCTACTTAGCGGTTGTCTACCCGCTGAGGTTTTCTTTTCTAAGAACGAGAAGATTTGCACTCGTGACCAGCCTGTCTATCTGGATACTGGAATCCATCTTTAACTCTATCCTTCTGTGGAAAGATGAGACTAGCGTCGAATACTGTGATGAGGAGAAGTCTAACTTCACCCTGTGTTATGACAAATACCCTCTGGAGAACTGGCAGATCAACCTCAACCTGTTTAGGACGAGCATGGGCTATGCAGTCCCTTTGATCACCATCATGATCTGCAACCATAAAGTGTACCAAGCTGTGCAGCACAACCAGGCCACGGAAAACAGCGAAAAGAGAAGGATCATAAAGTTGCTTGCTAGCATCACGTTGACGTTCGTCCTGTGCTTTACCCCCTTCCATGTGATGGTGCTCATCCGCTGCATTTTAGAGCGCAATATGAACTTCAGTAGCAAGTCTGGGAAGCAGACGTTTACGGTGTACAGAATCACAGTGGCACTGACCAGTCTAAACTGTGTCGCTGATCCAATTCTCTACTGCTTTGTGACTGAAACGGGGAGAGCTGATATGTGGAACATATTAAAATTGTGTACTAGGAAACACAATAGACCACAAGGACCAAAAAGGGACATACTTTCTGTGTCCACAAGAGATACTGTAGAATTAGAGATCATAGAATAAAAAAAGGAGGCGGGTTAAATTGCATGGTATTATATAATAAAAACTATACTTTTGAAAGGAAGTCTGGCATAGGAGGACCAAGTGTTCTGAGTGAATTCTTTCTTCTACCCCAGTGGAAATATTCCTAAGGTCCATTGCACAACTCCCACATTGACTTTTATTAAATAAGGTGTAAAAATGTGTTATTTTCTAATGACGTGGGGTCATCCTTGGTAGAAATTCTCTTTGTCTGTACACTATAACCCCTAAGAAGCATGTAAAGTGTTAATCTTTAAATTGGTGGCCATTCTGTCTGATGGGTATGACTTTGTTGTTGTTCTATCTTCGGATTTTCAGACTATCAGCCACCAGTTCTCTCATGTCTATAAACCTGTCTCTAACAAATGTAAATACTATAGCTAATCCATTTACTAATAATATTGAGGCTTTTAAAGAAATGTTCTTGTGAGCCTTCGTGAAGTTTACATCAATTTAGGAAGCTAGTCACTGAGCCACATAAGGTAAAAGAAAATGGACTTTGTATTTCGATCTTGGTTTCTTTGAATTTATAGGTGCATACATGATAGTTGGAACTGATATTAGTTTCCATCCAGGCAAATAGATATTTGTAGGCAAGCTTACACCCATAAGCTTCCTTTATGACTTAGAATATGTAAAGAATATTGATATATTCTTTTCAAATCTTCATGGTAGAATTTACTCTTCATAGTTTTAGGTTGGCACTGGGCAGTCATTTCTTTTAACAAAAGAATTTTGAAGGTGTTTTTCTACCCTACTTTTCCCTTTACTCCTTCTCTTTCTTCTCTTTCCTTTATATTCTTTCTCCTTTTGAAGAAATGATCAGCTGGCAAGTGTCCTGATACCACATTGGAGCTATATGCTGTGAAACAAAAGCTTGATAATCACAAGGACTGATATGCTTGGTTTAGAATGTGTGCGTATGTGGCAGTAGTTTTCCATTGGTCTTTCATGATGAAATGTGCACACCGAGGAAAGCTGCCTTGCCTTGGTGCCGTTTATCCAGGCACTAACATTCATTTTTCTGCTCACAATGCTTTCATAGAGTTAATACATTCTGTCTGCACTCTAAGACACATATATGCTTAAAAACTAGAGTATTAAAATGAAGACTAGCTAAAATCATTTGAACTGCTTGGCTAATTTTTGGTTAAGTGATTGGTGGCCTGTAAAAATGCATTTAAAGGTAAAAGTCTAGAATTAATTTCTTGACCACATATTAAGACTCAAATGTAGATCCAGTGACTTCAAGTTCAGGAAGATTCAGACCTTGAACCCAGAATCCTGACTTGGTTTCCAGACTTGACTTGGCCTTTATGATATTTTAAAAATACTTTCTAAAATAACTTCCTTCTTTATGCGTGAAAAATTAATACAGTTGTTGGGTTTAGGTTAATAGGGGGAATGAGAGTTTAATCACCAATTTATACATCTGGAAGTATAATTCAGATAGTAATTATACTGATACATTATAGAAACTTGATAAGGATTTTTCTTTAGTCTGTTATTTAAAGAGACATGACAAAATCTTGCATGATGGCTGACAAGAACATTATAATTAGATAATTAACACTAAAATGCTGGTTTAGCAGATTGTAGAGTTAATTTACCTAAATCCAGTCTATCAAAGCCTGCTAGCAACCTTTGAGCAAGGCGATGAAAATCAGGAGATTTCTCATATGATTTAGAACAGAGCACTCTAGACATGACTGAATGCAACCAGCCTTGAAACGTTAACCTTTGAATCTTTAAAAAGACTTCCAGAGTTCCTCATTAAGATTTCCTCCATCAAACTGAAAGTCCTTCTGGGAGGAAAAAGAGCTTCCAGCCATAGTTACCTGGTAGTTTTTGACAAAACACCTTGGTTAGAAAGCCAATTCTTTCACTGACAAGTTGTTGGAAATTTTGATGATTTCCCTAAAGCTTGCAGGAACAGTGTGTGTGTGTGTGTGTGTGTGTGTGTGTGTGTCCATCACAGCACCTGCTTTCACCAGGTAGACAGGAGGACAATGGTCACTGCTGTTAGTAGTGGCACCTATGCTGGTCAGGACTGTGGATAGTGACCTAAGAAGAAGCACTTTGATACAATGCTAGAAATAGATAATAGCAATGAGAATCAATTAGAGCTGGCTCAAGACACGGTTGTAATACTCTCCAGATGGTTAGACACTGGCATTAAGGCAATTCAAGGTCCTTTGTGTTTTCTGGTTCTGTGGGAAATTTTCAATAGTGCCAGTTCCTGGGCATTCCACACCCCTAGGGGACACACTGAAGGCATCAACAGGTAGATATCCACTTTAATTTATTTGCATATGTGACTGTTTGTTTTGTTTTGTTTTCCAAATTGATATTTTTAACAAAATGTACATTTTTGGAAAGCCAGAGAAGAGACTACCTGCAGGTGGGGTTTCTTTGTTTTGTTTGGGATTTTATTGTTGTTGTTGTTGTTGTTGTTGTTTTAACTACCATTTTCCCTACCTTATTTGGGAAATCTTTATGGAAGAAAGGGATTGTAAAAGACATAGAAATTAACTCCTTGTTTTGTACAACTTTAAACATTGTCTCCCTGAGGACATCTGTAGCAAATCTTTTTGTGCAAAGTGATGTATTTGTATTCCTTTACTCTCTGGTTAAGCTAACAGAAGTCTTCCAAGAACATTGGGTGTCTCTCCTGTAATGATTGAATAAGTCACTACTCACCAGTTACCTCTGTTGACTTTGTTAAGCTTCTTTATTTTTTAGTTAGATGAGTTTGGTTTCAAAATAGAATCAGTGATAACGGAGCACATGGGTATCTCTTTATCTTTCTTCATCATCTCTCTCATTTTGGGAGCTTCTTTTTGACCAATCCCACTCTCATCATTCTCTTATCCATGCTCAAGACCCTGTTCTCTCCTAGCTAAACCCTTCCCAGTTGCTATGGTAACAGTTGCTACTGTAGCACTGCTGACCCAAGAAGGCATTGTGATAAGTGATCTCAGACTTGTTTATGTGGGAGCCCATTATGAAATCAAAAGAATTCCTGAAACAGAGACAGGAATACAAATGCATAGACACAAACTTGCTCCATCTCCTGAAAACAGACAGAAAAAAAGTCCTTGTAGCCCTTTTAGCATGAGTGTGTGCCTTTTTGTATAATGTCTAATGCCAACTAACAAAACACAAGTCATCTTTTTAACAGCTAAAGTAATGTGTCATTGGGTTCATTGGATTTTCTTGTTTAGCAATCAGAATCTGAAGGAAACATTTTAAATATTCTTCTATGTCCTTTCTTTTTTCTCACTGAAAGTGACTGTAGGGGGGGGGTTGTTTGTTTCTTTCTCACCATGCTTTATTTTCTATTCTACACATTGAACAAAATTAAAATATACAATGTATATGCTAGGGTGTTTTCACCCACAGGGGTTTTGTTTTTCCCAAAGACACATCTTATTTTGTAACATGTCGATTTACCACATTCCTTGTTTCTTTGTATTAATTCTTCTCACTCCACTCCTCCCAGTTCTTCCCCACTTTCTGTCTCCCCCAGATGAGGGAATTGTGTTTGTTTGTTTGTTTGTTTGTTTGTTTGTTTGTTTGTTTTTTGGGTTTTCGAGACAGGGTTTCTCTGGCTTTGGAGCCTGTCCTGGAACTAGCTCTTGTAGACTAGGCTGGTCTCGAACTCACAGAGATCCATCTGCCTCCACCTCCCAAGTGCTGGGATTAAAGGCATGCGCCACCAACACCTGGCTAAGGGGGTTGTTTTAAGGAAATGTCTGTCTCAATTTTTTCCTTATAATATTCTAGAAAATTTAGCTCTAAGTAAGTTGTTTATTTACACCTCCTAGGTAGACGCCTCTGGAAGGAGGCAATCATGTTTTACGAATAGGAAAACCAGCTATATTTTCAAAGTATTCTTTCTTCCGAGCATAAAATCTAATTCAAGTTTTTTTTTTTTTAAAAAAAAGATATTTGAGCACTGTAATTTCAATTTTTTTTGTATTCCTTAACATTAACGATGGAGCACATGGAGATAAGCTGTGTATAATTAAATACATTATCTGAGTTCACCTGATATTAAGAAATATCTAGAAATCACAAAAGCAGGTGAGATATTGGGTGAGGTAGAAATGATATGGCAGTTAAGATTTTTTCTTCTCTCTTTGAAAAGTCCTGACTCTTGGTACATTCGTTATTGAGTGGGGGTAGTCCAGTTTGTGACCACTAGGGGTCAACTGTGTTCTACCACAGAATTTTGCAGGCCCGTGTTCTCTTATCACTAACAAACCAGCCTGACCTATGATGTATTTTCTTATCCAAGCAAATAGCAAATACCTCCCATGACAAGAAATTAAAAAGGTAAAAGGGAGGACACGCCCATATTCTTTCCTTTGCTTTCTAAGAAGCTGGGTTATGAATTGTGGGTGTTTTGACTTGCTTTACACTACACATGTCATTTCACAAATGGTTTTTACCAAGCTAGTTAAAATTAGTGAGTTCCAGGTGTAAGAGAATATAGGTAAAATGGTTTAACCTCTCTATTATCATGGGTATAGGAGCTAGTGAGCTGGCTCAGTGGTTAAGAGTACTTGTTGCTCTTGCAAAGGACCTGGGTTCTATTCCCACGTACCTACATAGTAGCTCACAACGATCTGTATTCCAGTTCCAGAGTATGCTATGCCCACATATGACCTCCATGGGCACAAGCACACCTCTGGTACATATGCATACATGCAGAAAAAGACACTCAAGTAACACGTTAAATAAAAGACCCAGATACTAATATTGGGGATCAAGCTTCAGGCTGGAGATCAGAGAAGCAAAGCAGCTGGCCACTAGCTCTTCCTTCTACCTCCAACTAAAAGGGTTGATCCTGTCTCCACAAGCTCTCCCCCAAGCCTCAGACTGCTGCCTCTCCTCAACATGACTGGAGACAAATTCTCAGAATGCAGCCTGAGACACCGGGATCCTGTCTTTTATATACCTCTCTAGGTCTGGGATTA